TGTATGCAGACAACCAGGTGATGCACTTCTACCGCTGGCTGCGCTCCCCCAGCTCTCTGCTCTATGACCCTGCGCTGCACCGTACCCTGCACAACATGATGAAGAAGGTGTTCCTACAGTGAGTGTCACGTCATCCTCTAAACTACAAAAAGCACTATCACATCTATTTAGTCATTTATTTAGTCTTAAAAGCTTTGTTTTCAAAGTATTGGTAAAATCTCCAATTCTACACCAGAACAACTTTACATTGCAATTTTACAACATAAGCTCTGATCATGATGCTTTCATCTTGTTTCTTGCATTGATATATCCTCACCTTTAAACATGCATCACAGCTACGGTGTCATCTTCTTTTAATAATCATTCTCTCATTCCGCTGTCAGGCTGGTTTCTGAATTCAAACGTCTCGGCTCCACTGTGGTGTACGGAAACTTCAACAGGATCATCTTGTGTACTAAAAAACGGAGGATAGAGGACGCCATCGGCTACGTAGAATACATCACCAACAGGTCAGACATTTACCCTTCTGCAGGTCACACCTATAGAGAGACTGTTTGTACATCTTGTGAAGCAACATCCTACATCCGTTGATAAGAAATATAAATGTAAAACAAATGTACCTGTATTTTAAAAAAATAAAACTGTATCTGACCAGACTGCTTGGCCAATAAAAGAGTATGTGTATATGTATCTGTTGCCAGTGGTTTGAAGTAAGAGCCGGACACTAAAATCTGAAGGGGAAAAAAGAGATAGAACAGAATTAGCCATTAGCGCAGTTAGATGTTTTCCAGAGATGGTGTTGTGGTCTGTATCATGGGAAGTGAATTTTAAGAAGCAAACTTGAAAGAGGAGAACTACCCATTAGACTAATGGAAGGAAAAATAAATAGGGAAGTTAGGCCATTGTGTCAATATTGTAATGTGAAACTAAATATCTTAAGTTATTTTGGTCATTGTTGTGTTGTTATGGTTAGCACCAGTTTTTTCCTCCCCCCTCAAAGCAGCATTACAGCAGCATTTCTGAACGTACCAAAGTTCAAAAGTCAAACAAACAATGATGCTTTTAACTCTTTTATAGATATTACTAATGAGCATCTTCCTGTGTTTCCCCTCCACACAGAAATATGTTTTTCTACTTGTTCCTACAGTTGGATGTTTGAGCTTCACTCTGCAGAATGATGTGTATGTGCAAAGTTTGATACTAGATGGAAGTTTTCACATTCACCTGCTGAAAGTGGAAAGTTTCTCTGTGAAGGGCTGGGCCTACAAGCGTGATTTGTGATCCCAAATACTTTAGTACTTTAGTATACGTCAATCCTCGTCCAGAATGCAACTTATACAAGTTTGATGTAGAAACCAGTGCACATACACCGAGGATGGACTTTACAGTAGTAGGAAAGTGGAAAGTAACCAAATTTGCATATATATTGATTCTGGATTTTTTAAAAGAGGGACCTTTATTAAGGATTTGAATGTGGAAATTATACCTGTTTCCTTTTCTTTAAATATTTCTGAAAGCTCATCTTCAAAATAGTCTCTCCTATAATATTGTAAATAGACCCAAAACCTGAAAAATAACCTTCCTAACTTTCTCCTGTAGCATCCACTCCAGAGAAATCTTTCACTCTTTGTCCATCTCCTTCTCGCGATGCTGGGAGTTCCTGCTGTGGATGGATCCGGCTAACTGCGGCGGCGTGAAGGGCAAATTGCCCACCAACATCTTGTGCGGAGAGGTAATTCAAACTGCAACGTCTGCCTCATTCAATATTTGCATTTATCAAAGTAGTTGAATAAAACACAAACACAAACTCATGCCTCTTCCACGGCCCTTTTTTTTTATGTCAGGACGGAGCCAAACAGAAGAAAAACAAACAAGGGGACGGAGAGGAGGAGGGCAGCGAGGACGAAGACGAGGACGAAGCAGAGGAAGATGATGGCGATGGAGAGACGGATGAGGTGGAGGAGCTAATTGAGAGCAACTGGAACATCATGCAGTATCTGCCCCAAACTGCCTCCTGTCAGAACTACTTCCTCATGATTGTCTCCGGTAAAAATAATAACCAGTTCACGATAGACTTTTTTTTTCTTGCTTTTTCTCTACCTACTTTTAAACACATACTTTCTGTGGCAGCCTATATTGCAGCAGTCTACCACAGCATGAAAGAGGAGCTGAGACGTAACGCTCCCGGGGCAACGCCAGTCAAGAGACGTGGAGGCAGCCAGGCTTCCCAGCAGGCAGTGGGGGACTTGAGTGCTCTTCCTGGTAAGATGCTGTTTGTGGGGCTGCTTTAGTTACAAAAGACTTCCCTCATGTGTCTTAGGAACTTCACATTACACTCATTAGAGTCGCCATAGGCTAGTGTCTGTAACACTTACACCTATGATTGGGAGCTTTTAAATGCATTTAAATGGATTGCCTCTCAGTTGTGATTTTTTTAAAACTGTCTCCCACAGGAATGATCTCCTTCTCCCAGGAATATGTGTCCAGCGAGCTGACGCAGAACTTTTTCACCATTACTCAAAAAATCCAGAAGAAGGTGACTGGCACCAGGAGCGTGAACCATCCTTCTGAGATGTTCCCCGTTCTGCCCGGATCCCACCTGCCACTCAACAACCCAGCACTGGAGTTTATCAAATATGTCTGCCAGGTATACCGACTTACAAAGCTCTTTTTGTGTGTTTCATGTAATCATGATTATTCTCTCACCACATTGCACAGTTTTTGCAGGATTTGGAACTGCACAAATTCTCAATTCCATCTTCTGTCTCCTCAGGTCCTTTCACTGGATGCCAACATAGTGAACCAGGTGAACAAGCTGAAAAGAGACCTCTTGCGTCTCGTGGATGTCGGAGAGTTTTCCGAGAATGCCCACTTCCGTGACCCCTGTAACTCCTACATCCTGCCAGAGGTCATCTGCCATCACTGCAATTTCTGTCGTGACCTCGACCTCTGCAAGGACCCATCTGTGGCACAAGTGAGAGAACGGGCATTGATGGGCATGATAATAACGCTCTGATTTTTAACTTGATTAATAAATTGTATCAAATTCCAGTTAGATAAACCGTGTTTTCCTCTCCTCAGGATGGTTCGGTTTTGCCTCAGTGGTTCTGCTCCAACTGCAAGGCGCAGTATGAGACTGAGTCTATTGAGATGGCTCTGGTGGACGCTCTGCAGAAGAAACTGATGAGCTACACACTGCAGGACCTGGTAAGTAACCTTAATATGTACTGAATTATTTATGCTGAAAGATCAAACATCCTAACATGAATGTCCAGTGTCCCTTTTAATGTCTTTGTTGTATGTCATCCCCCTCTCTCTACATGTTTCCTGCCTGTATCTCTATTGTCACTATAAAATAAAGAATAATAAAAATGCCCCAAAAGTAATCTTAATTTAATTTCTGACCATTGCTGGCATTGCAGTCTTCTCCCTCCAAAAACAAACTGATCAGCTGATTAAAACCAGTAAAAACAGAGTAAAGCAGTCTTCCGTTAAAAATCTGTTTCGCTGACACTGTTCAGCACAACAAGGCCGAGCAGCTGTTAGCTCAACTTGTTTCTCTGATCATTTAAGATCCATCCAGTTAAAATGTATATTTAAAAACAACCAAGATCTAAAACGTGTCTTAAAACAATTTATGAAAATGCGGATATGACGTAATTGACAGGTGACTGGTGAAATTATCCGTTATCCGAATAATATTACAGATTTCTCTGTTTGAACATTGTTGAAAACATTAAAGATATATATATATATATATATATATATATATATATACAACATAGGTCTAGTGTATTAGACATTTTAATGCGGTATTTTACATGTATCTTTAAAACAAACAAATATCCAAACACAACATAGTTTCACTTGATTTACTTTCTGTTTAACGGTCTGCAGCATCTTCTGATATTTTTCTTGAAGCTGCCTCACTGCTAAAAACTCTCTGTGTGATTTTTAGGTGTGTACAAAATGTAAAGGAGTGAAGGAAGCGAACATGCCCCTGTACTGCAAATGTGCCGGAGACTTTGACCTCACTTTCCCAGCCAAGGTTTCTACTCTCAAATACAATTTTTTTTTTTTTCAATTTAGCGATAAAAGCACATGACATTCGTTCTAATGGCTGTTTTTTTTTTTTTTTTTCTTCTTCCATTTAAAGAGCTTCTCTGAGCAGATCACAGTGTTCAGGAGCATAGCGTCCCACTACAACATGAGCTTCCTGGAGGAGACCATCGACTGGTTGCTTGTTATGAGCCCACACATCAGCCAGAACGCTCACTAAATGTGACCTCTGCCCTTCCAACACTCCCGCAGCTGCATCTCTGGCAACTACTTTTCAATCTGGGAAATTCTGAACGTTTCCCAGTTCAAGCACTTGTTTCTATGCTGTTTGATGGTGTGTAATGTTAAGGGAGGTTGGAAGACTGTAGATATGTTTTAAGTCTTGATTATACCATGATAAAATTATGTATTTGTGTGAATTTCATATATTGACTGTTAATAAATATTTTTCCAAGTGTTTTAACTGTGAGCCTGACCTGTCTTTACTGCTCAGTTACTTTACTCTGCGCTGTAGGAAGCACTGCAGTCCTGCCTCCGAGGACAGGGCATAAACATCTTGAGTGCCGTTCACTCTGAGGACCGTCATTAATCAGCGGTCACATTTTGTCGGAGCTTCTTCCTCACTTAAATGCTAATGTGATCGTTGTGTACAGCTTTTCTCTTTGTTCTTAACCGCTCCGACTCCCCCCCCATTTATTCCGCCTTTATTTACAGTGAAACGCATTAGACATGTCTGATGTTGCATAATCCTCAACCATCAAAGTTTTTCTTTGGTGTGGTAATTGTGAAGATTCTTTTTCTGGTTTTGATTTTTATGTTTGAGGAATTATTTGGCAAATCTGAACCTTCAAGTCTTCATCTCATGAGAGTCTTTACATTTTAATGCAGGCTGAGCTTTCTTGCACAGCGATACTAAGAAAAGAGCAAGCGTTTCTAGCTGGTTGTAAATAAATTCTTTACTGTTTTTGAATGTGAAAATGGTTTGGTGGTTAGTGATTGCTGTGAGCGAGTCTGGATCACAGTGATCTTAACTCATGCACCTCCACCACTTTAACCTCATTGGCCCACAGATGACTCACTTTGCCTGCTGATGGGTGTCTCCCAGACAAGTAATCACATTTCAGACTCCGATCTGAGGCACAATTAGATTGGCTCCTTAAGAGTTTCTCGCTGACACACATTGTACATGTACGACTGAATGAATGAGAGCATTTACAGGGCCTGTGACTAAGTTTCTTTTTGTAAGTCTCTCAATACATCTTAGATCTAACAACACAGCTTGAACTTAGTATTAAAATTGATTAACATAAGCGCTACAATTTAAGATATAACATTATATGAATTTTCAGCTCTTTAAATGTCATAAACACCATCTCCACACTGATATGTCACTGTCCATTGTGCTTCTCCATACATCATGGCAGATATCGATCCATTAGACTTGAGTCTTAAGTCTTTTTTTACCACTGACATTTGTATTGCTCTCAAGCCTCCAGATGGATTCACACTTCCCTACAATCTTGTTAGAGAAACCATTTTATGGGAAATGTCGGTGTTATTTGATTACTGCTCATTGCTCTCCTCGTGCGTGTCCTGGCAGTTTCCTCCTATATCCCCTAGTTATGCTGAGCACGTCAGGTTGAAAGATGAAGGAAATGAATCAGAATATTTTGATTCTTCAAACATGGTGTGCAGTTTGTAATAATGCAGATTTATAAGAGCAAAGGTCAGTGCTTTATGATATACTGTGAAATAAGGATTTCATGGTAATATGAAACGTGAGTTGATAGACGACATTATTGCAATACATTGACAGAAATGGGCATAGTAATGTTTCTCATTACTGTGTACTCAAATAGGTTTCTGCTATGAAATGGTTTAGTTTCTGTTCATACTGAGAAAATAAACAATTTTTTTTAAGTGGTGTTACTGTCTGCTGAAGTCATGTCGAAAGAGAAACAATTAATTGCATTGTACAGTTGTGGTCCATCAAGGTTTTGAGACGATATAGGAACTGAATCTGCTGCACAGGCAGAGCCTTTGAGAAGACCGGCTGTCTCTCATAAGATGCTCTCTGTCACGGTGATTCTCTGTCAGTTTATATTCCCACTTAAAAAACAGCATAGCGACCGCTGGCAGTCCGTAACCGAGCTGTTGCAGGCACCTGAGAAAGCACTCAGAGGTGCTGTTGTTGCCACAGTCAGCTGACGGAGGAGAGTCCACACTCTGGGCCAGCGAGGACTGAGGCAACTGTGGTGACATTACAGCGGTACACCTTCTGACAGGTCTGAATGGTTTGAGCCGTAGCTGTTGATGTAGCTGAGCTCTGTGGATATGGGCACCTTGGGCTCCTTGATAACCTGTGGAGGAAAGATATTCACTTAGAGATGTTTACATATGACATGAGAGTAAGTAGTTTAGTAGTTTGTGGCACAGAGCAGTAGACTGGTTGGGTTTATTTTACTCTTTTTAAATCCTATTTTTATGTCTTCTTTATTGTTTTTGTTGTTTCTGTTTTTTCTTCTTCGTGCCTTTTCTGTCTTAATATAGTGAAGCACTTTCCTCATTGTTGAAAGGTGCAATACAAATAAGCTTGCCTTGCCTTGTTCTATTGAAGTGTCCCAGTAAGCTGTGACAGTGTGACAATGAGCCAGCATGCACAATACCTGGACCCTGAAACCAAAGCAGCTAAATGGAATTTAGCCATCAATCATTTTTTTATTAATTTCTGGGAAAAAAGGCCTGTACAGTACTCAAAATATAGAGAATATTTTTTGAGAATCTTGTTGTCCCTGCATTATCATTAAAGAATTCATTTAGATTTAGAGATTATGCTTTACTTTTGCTTGAGTAGACACATAACATTGTTTACTAGTAGTAGTAACTAAGAATGACTTGAGCACACTGATTTCTTTAATTGTGCGTTTCAACACTACCGTGTCTTCATCAGAGGCAAAGACAAGACAAATCAAGACAAAGACATGAGGCAAACAACAAATATAGTCAATCTATAAAGTATATATAACCTATACATGTTGTTTGCCTCATGTCTTTGTCTATTTCGACTCTGATGAAGTAGTGTCAAAAACATTTGCACAATTAAAGGCTGCGAATTCAGTGTGCTCCAGTCCTTCTCTGCAAGCTTGCTGCCCTTGAAATGAGAAGCACCTGATTTATATGTCTATTATATATATATATATATATATATATATATATATTACTAATTACAATTATTGAGTAGCTGTAAAGGAAAGACAGCATTATCCACTAAGGACCAGGACCAGTGTGAAGGATTTATTGGCATCTAGCAGTCAAGTTGCAGATTCTGTGTAGGAGAAACCACAGTGGCCACAAAACTCACAAAAAAATTCACAAATTCCTTTCTACAGCCAGTGTTTGGTTTGTCCATTCTGGGCTACTGTAGAATCATTAATAATCAGTTACATTTGCTTTTCACTTGTTCCATGGTAACTACTCAAAGTTTTGTGTACCGTATACCAAATTATGTACTCAAACACGTCTGTCGGTAATGTTTGGAAGTCATCTCATATCATCTCATCTTTTATTTATGAGATATCAAACTTTTCTTAACCAAATATTCAAACTTCCTTGAACACAGATGGAATAATAAGCGCTGAGGTTGAATATATGAGGCCTTTTACTCACTTCATCAAACTTCCTCTCGCTGTAGATTTCATTCTTGTCAATAAACGTCAGCATGATCCAGTCACAGATAATGGTGCACTAGAGGGTTGAAATGTAAAGAAGAACCAGTTTGTGGTGGAAAGAGTGAGTGCTGTGACTTTAAAACCTTTAAAATAAGAAATGAATGTTATAATTACAGAACTCACAATCCCAACTGAAGTCATAGCAGTCACCACGCTGATGATGGTTGGGATGGGACTGAATTTACCAGCCTGAAAAAGAAATGCAAATAATATAATTAGAGTCATCACAGTATGTTGAAAGTAGACCGCAGTGATGATGGTGTATCCGCTTACATGTCCGTGAACTATGACATCCAGACGGATGCCGTAGGCCTTGATAAGTGTCCGAGACTCTACCCCATGCTTACTGTAATATTTGGCAAACCTGGACAATTACACAGAAATCACAAGTTGTGACCACAAGCCAAAGAGATCAACAGTTTAAAACACAGAACTCAAAGTGTTTGTTGTTAGAGCTCACCTGTAATAGTAACCAGAGTTGGCCTGATCCTTGCGGAGATCAAGACGACGGAAGGAATATGTAGGTTTACAGTTTGAAGGATCAATATCAAGGTTACACTTCCAGTTGATGAAAACCCCAATCACTCCTCCCTGAGCAAAAAAACAGCAACGATCATATCTTAAGGAGTGCTACTCTATCACAATGTGGGTCATTGTTGTGTGCCATCCTTAAAATATCATAGTGGCAGTTATATGTTGCTCAAAATAAGATACATATGTGTATAAAAAAACATTTAGTGACATTTTAAATCTGGAAAAGCACATTTTGTAGTGCACATCCCGTACTCACAGTCCTGCAGAGCTCACTGAAATTCTCCCTCGCTTGATCTGCGATGTAGCCCAGGCGGAAGTTAGGACAGTAGGGCTCTTTCTCCTCATCATAATGACACTTATTGAGGTATTTCTGCATGTCACGCTTGTTTGAAGCATCTTTGATGTTTCCTCTGCCAAAGACAAAAACAGGAGTTCTTCTGCAGCTCGTCTAATGTCCAGAAGCACTGCCTCCGTGTGTGTGTGTGTGTGTGTGTGTGTGTGTGTGTGTGTGTGTGTGTGTGTGTGTGTGTGTGAGTGAGTGAGTGAGTGAAGGTACCCTACCTCAGTACTTTAAATTTGGGGAAATGGATAGAGTTCCTGATGAACACTGTGAAATTGATGGCCTCCACTAATGCAGGTTCTCTGTTGGAAACACATAATCAGATCAGTTAAACATCCCGTTGCTAGTAGCAACCACACAGTTTCAAAGCAGTTTAACTGACATTGCTACGTAATCCACAATTTTGTGTGAATCTGTGAGCATGTAAATATTAACAGACATCGTCTATCTGCTCTCAAAATGCTCTTGTTGGAGCAATATCTGCTTTTATTACAACTGTTTTATGATTGTTGATGTAGTTTCTCTGGGGCCAATCATCTGATAATCTGTCTGTGGATCTAACTATCGCTTATGGCAGTGGTTCCCAACGACCCCTTAAAACAAAGCTTTGTCTGCTTGTGAACCCTCGTCACAGGTCAATTCAGGTGGGGGTTATCTATCGCCTGTCTTACCGTAAGGCGGCGTATTCCTCAATAGGACACCAGGTTTGGATCTCACAGGTCTTGAAGGTGTGGTTGTAGTACTGAACACATTTGCCGGTCCTTCTGCCTGTAAGAAGTGTTTGTGATTAAAAACTGTGGCAAATACAGACCAACCAAGCTTGAAGAAAGATTTTGTGAGGAATAAAAACGGTACCATGGCCATCAAAGTCAACCTCTCCCTCGACACAGTCAGAGTCTGCTGTACAGTTGGCATTGGCAATATTAAAATACTGAAATGAAATGAGACAGATACTCAGTCATGGGGGAGAATAATCTATTTAACTGCATACAAGTATCTGTTAGTGTTAAGAAAGCTTTGTTGACCTCTCACCTCAGCGCAGAGTCCTTGCATCTGATCATACGTAACTTCTCGTCTCAGTATTGTACTAACCACATCGCCGCCCTGTGAAGGAAATGCCACAAATTTGTTCTACTATGCAAATAATAATTCTGACAGACTATAAGGAGGTGAGACTTCCTTGATTGTATTGCAGCATTTGCTCTGGACTCACCTCTGAGGGTCGAGCGTACTCCACCGTGTCCAAGATATCGTCTCCATGAACTGCTGTGCCTTTCATGAGTGTGTAAACTGAGCTCTCTGGACGAGTTTCACTTTCTTGGTAGGCTTTCTGACTTATGAAGACGTACCTTCAGGACGATAGAACAGACAAACCCAAAATCACATTTTCTGTCGTGACGTCAATTTATATTGGAGGTATCAGATTACCCTGGGTCTGGATCAGCCCGCATTGCCGAAGCCAAGAGAAGAAGAAAAGATGACGCATGCAGTTAAAACTCAAGACATCTAATCTATAAACTAGTTTAGAATTTGAAACAACAACATGAATATTAATATCCCCACAAAATCAAAGTCTATAAAAACTGCTCTCCTCAGTTCTAATAAAACGTCTAATAATGGACAGAGTGACTCAACTACAATTCTTGACTGCAATTATGTTTCCATAAATTATGTTGTTTATTTGTTTCCACTTAATTGCTAATGAGAGGCATTTCCTCTGTCAGCTTCCCAAATTTAAAGTTGCAGTGCAATATTTATCCTTACACGCTTTGTTTACACACAAAAACAAACAATTTTATACTGTTTTTTTCCCCAAAAAGATGCATTCAAACTAACACATGATATATCTGATAACAGAAAAATGTTGAAATTCAACAAAGTGAAGTTACCAAAGCATTCCAGTGTCATAGATTGTCCCTTTTAGCACACACAGTGGGCATGCAAAGACACAAACATGAAGCTTACCAGATGAAATAGGTGATCACAAGAAACTGAACGCCTCTATATATGACTCCAAGAGTTCTGTTTTTAACCACCATCACCTTTGGTGTCTCATAGTCCCAGAAACCAAGAAAATAATCCTTTATGAAGTCACGTAGCCCCATGATGAAGTTATGAAATAATTCACACATATCTTAAAATGTCCCCGTGAACTCTAATTTCTCTGTATCTAGCTTTTTATTTCTCTCACTATTTTTCTTTCTCACTCTCTGCTCCTGCTCAGCTCTGTTCTGCATCTCTCCCAAGCATCCCTGGCACCAACCAGACAGAGGCAGAAGAGAAGGGGGGTGGGGCTCAGATGTGGTTGAATCATGCGTTTTATTTCAAGTCAGTTACACTAATGATTGTTTCTATTTAACATGTTGGTTAAATAGAAAATCTGAGCTGAAGTGCTTACAGTTTTGCACAGGAACTCATTTTATAGACATATTTAAACTGTTGCCTCTGTTTTTTTTTTTTTTTCTGAACAGATTGAAAATCTTTTATTATAATGTTCCCTGTATTAAAAAAAGAAAACTGCAATAAAATATAAACTTATTTTGGAGGCATTGGTGCAGACAAACAGTAAATACAACTGCATATTAATCAGTTCGACATGCTACATGTCAAAATTGTCCAAAAGAACAAACGCGAGAAAGTTTTTTTTGTTTGTTTGTTTGTTTGTTTTCTTTCTTTTTACACAGGCGGACACACGCGCTACCTCTCGCGTGGGCCCTGATCACTGCTCGCACCGCCTCCTCCGCGCATGTCAACGACACGTGCGTCGTCGGTGACGGTAGCGAGCGCTGTGTCCGTCTGCTAACTGCTTCGTTTCTCGACAATTACCTTTTAATTTTTAAAACTTACGCGGACGCTCACGTATCGTTTGTAAATGGGAGGTCTTCAAAAGAAAAAGGTACGAGTTGACGTCGGGCTAATGTCTGTCTCACGCACATTAATTGCCATAGCAACATGGTTAGCTCGCTAGCTAACGGAGCTAGCTGAGGTTTGTTTTTCCTGAGACTGTCCAAGATGAGCATTTTAGATCTATATATATATATATATATATATATGTAATAAATATTGTTTGTTGGGGTTTTGATGTTCACGTCTGTTCTTGTTTTCCAGTATGAGAGGGGCTCTGCCACCAACTACATCACCAGAAACAAAGCTCGTAAGAAGTTACAGCTGAGTCTCCCAGACTTCAGGTAATGTTACCACGTTGGATGGCACAATCATGGATTAATTGGTTTTAAATCGATATATATTCAGGTGCCAATGTATGTACACATAGTGAAACACTAATACAGCAGATCGGCAACGTCCTCACTTCATGAATTTAATCTAGGGAGGTGATGATTGTTGAGGTTTATGGCACTTTAGGGGCTGTAGTGTGAGGCTGATCTGTTTTATTGATGAGATTTTTGTCCACCACACTCAGATAATGCACACACAATATCAGAAACTAATGTCAGGCTCTTAGTTGGTTATAAAGTTGAATCACCGCCTCCTAAAACAACAACAAACTCGACATTATAGACTTGATGAAGGTAGGTCGATGTATTGCAGGGCAACTTTGCATATACTGACACTTCCTACATTTATTTATTTATTTAATTGATCTATAATCATAACCAGATTATTTTATAATACTATCCAATATTGCCATTAAATAGTCCTGCTCACTGATTTGCAGTATTGTCTGCAATGGGGCCAGTGATATGAAGGGTATTTCTACTTTGGTATTAACAGTATGGAAAATATCTCAGATGGTTGCTAATAATTGGCATTAGAGCTGCACCAATGATTATTTTCTTTAATGATTACTTTGGACGTTTTCCCCCTATTAATCATTTAGTCCATGACCTCAGGAAATCACATAACATTTCTCACCATTAGTTACATATCAGGATGCAAGCAGCCATGTCACAGTTAAATAATTCCTGATCCCTCTCTGATTTTCAGGCGACTGTGCATCCTTAAAGGCATCTATCCTCATGAGCCCAAGCACAAGAAGAAGGTGAACAAGGGCTCTACAGCCGCAAGGACCTTCTACCTGCTGAAAGACATCCGCTTCCTGCTGCATGAGCCGATCGTTCGCAAGTTCAGGGACTACAAGGTATCAAGGGCATATTTTTTGCTGATTAAGTTCAACACCACCATGTTTTTAAGCATAAGTCTTCATTTAACTGTGTTAAAAATGGTTTCCTGTTGTGAATAAATGGCTTTCTCCCACACTAAGAAAGTAACTCAAGGGAAATCAGTAGCTTTTTTTAAGATTGAAGATGGTCTTTGATTTAAATGTTATTAGTTCCTTGGTAATGAATTGTTGTTTCTCTGGTGATGTATTGTGCAGTAATTGTCAATTTTCTTATTGTCGAAATGTTTTATCCTAACAGGTGTTTGTACGCAAACTTAAGAAGGCTTATGGGAAAACAGAGTATTCTGATGTGGAGAGACTGAGGGAGAACAAGCCATCCTACAAATTGGACCACATCATCAAAGAAAGGTGAGACAGTTCTCCACACTCAACATAGGAGGCGTTGTTGAGCTTAACTGTCTTTCTCAGAGTATCAGCAGAAATGACTGGGTAGCTGCAGATTGTGGGAAAGGCATGTCAGCAGCTTTTTTAAAGAGCCCTAATGACAAATTATTTTAAAATTATATATATTTCTTAGATTGTATCAAGTTGTATTGCCTCACTGGTGCTTCTTTTCGTGGCAGATACCCCACCTTCATCGATGCTCTCCGTGATATCGACGATTCCCTCTGCATGTGCTTCCTCTTCTCCACCTTCGCCCGAACAGGAAAATGTCACGTTCAGACAATCCAGCTGTGCAGACGCCTCACCGTGGAGTGGATGAATTTTGTGATAACATCTCGTGCCCTCAGAAAGGTGACAGTTTACATTAAACAGCAAATATTAGGGTGTTTTTATTTGTTTGCCAAATAGATGAAATGTGGGGTATACAGATATTTCTTGAGTTCGTTGACCTCTGTTTTGTAATAACATGTCTTTTCCTTGCAGGTTTTCATCTCCATCAAGGGGATATATTACCAAGCTGAGGTGATGGGACAACTCATCACATGGCTGGTGCCATATCAGTTCTCTCATGATGTAAGTGAATGAATGATGAAACGCAGTCTGTAGGGATTATGTTAATAATCAACAGTCACGTATCACTATTATGGGATTACACTGAAGGTAGACTCAGCATCTGTCAGCAAACACTGTTGCTGTGATACAGAAAAACATTTTAGGCTGATCAAGCTACTCTGGAGTTTTATGGAGCTACTCTTTTGTTTACAGGACTGTTAAAATGACTGGCTGCCCCATGTTTGTGTGCTCCAGAGATCATAATTTACTATAAATGTTTGCACTTTTGTTTATTAATTATACCACTGAGACTAAGTTAAACTCTTTTTTTTGTTTTTTTTTTGCCCTTAAGCACCCAACAGATGTCGACTACAGAGTAATGGCAACTTTCACAGAGTTGTACACCACTCTTCTGGGGTTCATCAACTTCCGACTCTACCATTCCCTCAACCTGCTCTACCCACCAAAGGTATCTTTGAGTCTGACAGCTTTTCTCTATATGTGTAAGAAATTATGTTTAATGTCTTCTTTACGTGATAGCAGTTTACATAGTGAGTCAAATTCATCACACTGTTTCAAATGGCTATGTTTTATTTTTGACAAAAATACTTCTCTCTCTTCTGTGACGATTGCTGTAAGAATCAAGTTGTACGATATGACTCATGATTGATTAATGGCCATTAAGAGGTCACCTATTAGCACACTTGTACTCTGTTAATGTTTTCCCTCCTTTGGCAGCTGGACAGTAAAACTGAGTCGGAGCTGAAGGAAGAGGACGAGGATGACTATGCCATGAATTCAGAAAGCTACCTAGAGGTGAGGCTCTTTGATCTTGAAATATTTTAAAGGATCTGTTTTGGATCACGTTTACCTCTTGGTGCTATATAATCATACAGATCATTTTTGTTATATTGGGTGAACTGACTCAAGCAAATATTCATTATTGAATTATTTAGTTGGTTGCTTTGTTGATGGAGCCCTCTGCTTCTGCACCCCTGCTGTGCTAATGCACTGGTCTAATTAAAAAGAAATGTGGGGGGTATGTTGTTTGTTTATGCAATGCGCAATCAGTCTGAACACTTTCTAATTGCATCTGGTGGTTTGAATCTGTACCAGTACAAAACGGGACATCCATTAAACCTGATGCAAAGCAGTGTTTCTACACACAAAGAGGCATTATTAGCAACAAAAATACATTCTTTGACAGTACACACCATAGTCCTTCCACTTAACTACTTTTAATTTGTGTGTGGTGATAGTGGTAATAAGACATTACAATGGAACATGTTGCCCTACTGGGAAAATCTGGACACTACAAAATGATTGGTTATTCACATTAATGATGTGAAAGTGTTCATGTAATAATAAAATTAAGGATAGTTGATCTAATACTGTGTTTTTCTTTGCTGTGCAGAAACTGTCAGCTCTGAGTTCCAGTCTGGCGCGGGTGGTTTCTACAGCAGAGGAGGAGGAGGCTGAACTTGACCAGTTTCCCGACGAGGGGGTAAGAAGACCCTAGTTATGATACTGAGTGTGATCAAAACATGCAGGAAAACAACAGTTAATGAACTAATTTAGAGGTCCCAGGTCATTGTCTGAGTCAGAAGCTTTTTGAGGTGTGAGACTGGGGGATTACACCTCTTATGTTTGGTTGCTATGGATGGTATGTTTCTCACCCTGGGAGTCTTGTTTTGCCCAACTGGTTTGAGGTTCTCATGTATTAGTGCTGTTTCACTAGAGGGACTTTCCAGTAATCCAGAAACATTTCTAGAAATTTAAAAGAAACATTACCTGCATTTCAACTACAGTTCCTGGTTTGGTTCTCAGGTTGGCAACAATGAGTCCGTACATCTCTGCAAATACCAGGGTGGAGTGTGCAGTGCTGATTCATCATTCTTTCAGGCTTTGCACAACAGTGAATTCAAAAATATCTATATGAATGTTTCTACTTTCGTGCTTTTCTTCAGGAGGACATTGAAAAGCTGGAGGCGAGGGAAAAAGAACAGAAACAGCTGGAAGCTCAGAAAAAGCTTTTTGACGGGCTCAAGTTCTTCCTCAACAGAGAAGTGCCCCGAGAGTCGCTGGCTTTTGTCATCAGGTGACTCAGAGCAGTAAAACTCTCAAGACATTTTGAGTTTCACAGGGACAATTCAGAAACTATCCTTGTAGAGCTCAAACTAACACACAACCCTTTTCTCTATGCTTTGTGTATTGCTTCTGCCTTCCAGGTGTTTTGGTGGGGAGGTGTCCTGGGACAAGTCTGTTTGCATTGGTAGCACATATGAAGTGACAGATGAGACCATCACGCATCACATTGTTGACAGACCCAACGTCGATAAACAGTATATCAACAGGTAAATGATTGTTTTGTTCTTTCTTTTTAACCTCTTCTTGCACATAGAACACATCAGTTTTTAAATGGCCAATTCGATTTGTAGTATATTTCTGAATACAGGAAGTCTCCGCTGATTGATGCTCCTTGGTGCTCCTCTCTCCTTGTACATTACCATATCCTCTACAATGCCTCCTTTCAGAATCGTTCCTCTGCTCTCTTGCACCAAAACAGGCCTCTGTTCTTCATCATGTTTGACAGACCCTGTCCTCTTTCTTTATCTCCCTCACATATTCCTTCAGCAGAGACTAAAAAAAGATCCTCAGTGTATATAAATACAAGATATGCGCTCTTTGTTTTCATATGAGAACAGGGAAATAAACAAAATGCATCACAAGAGGTTCTTTTAATAGATTTTACTATGATGGTATCTGTTTCAGGTACTACATCCAGCCTCAGTGGGTGTATGACTGTGTCAATGCCAAAATCGTCCTGCCTGTGGAAGACTACTTCCTTGGAGTGACTCTGCCCCCCCACCTCTCCCCCTTCGTGGAGGAGAAGGACGGAGACTACGTGCCCCCTGAAAAACTAAAGATCATGGCTTTACAACGAGGAGAAAAACCTGGTACGGACCTACGCTTTTTTTCTGGTGTCATCTTTTACATACTGTGTATATAATACATTTTCACATTCTATAAACACACTCACTTAATCATAGTGATTATAATTAGGATGTTGATGTATTTAGTCTTCAGTCAGTGTTCAAGCCATGATTATACACATGTAATAGTAAGTTAATTATGTGACTTCTAAAAATAATGCACCTGTAATAAATTATGTGACTTCTAAAAATAATGCACCTGTAATAAATTAGGTGGCTCATTGTAGGAGGTGAATGTGTTTTTATACTAAAGAATATTATTTTCTATTGATTAGAGTAAAAACAAATCTCTTACATTCATCGTGAGTCTGTTAAAATAATTAAACAGTAAGCCTAAAAATAAATGTTTTCTTATGGGCTGGGTAAATTCAGACCGTGGACATATAATTTATATATTTTACTTCCGTCGTAGCCCATGGACAGGAGGACGAGGAAGAAGAGGAAGACGAGGAGGAGGGTGAGGATGAAGAGGAGGAAGATGACAACGAAGAGGAGGAAGATGATGAAGAAGAGGCAGATGAGAAGAGTCTTAAGAAGATGGAAGAGCAGAGATCCAAGGGCAAGGTAAGAGACTTGGAACCCTTTACTATCCGTCTTTTCCTGTTTATACAAACTAGTGGAGCCTGTAATCAAATCTCCTCTCCTTCCTTTTTTTTTAAGTCTCTGCAAGTCAAAGTGACGCCTGGCAAAATGAAGGTAGAAAACCCAGCACGCTTGGAGGAGGAGGAGAAAGCAGAGGAGAAACGTCTGGCCATCATGATGATGAAGAAAAAGGAAAAGTACCTCTACGACAAGATCATGTTTGGAAAGAAGAGAAAAGTCCGAGAGGTTTGTTCCGTTTTTTTGTTGATTGAATATGGATTCACGTATAGATAAGACTGTTAGTGCAGCTGTGTGCGCAGATAACATTCTTTGGATCCTTTATGTTCTGTATGAGGCATTGTATCTCGGGCTGAGAATGTTTAACAGTATTGTATAGAGTACATTCAAACCCAGCGATGACCCCCCTGGAGTTCACTGACCTCTGAAATGCCATTAACTCTATTCATTCTCCTCTTCCAGGCTAACAAGCTTGCAGCCAAGAGGAAGGCCCACGACGATGCTGAAAAATCAAAGAAGAAGAAGAAGACCAGAAAATGACTCGTCTGTTGATGTATTTGTCAGACTGACATTATGTATTTAACTTCATGAGATAGTGTGTTACAGGTTGACATGTCATTTGACATGTCATAAAACCTGTAAGTGCATTAGAGAGCTCTGTGGGTGAGTTGTATGCACCGTGATGTAGGTGCATTGACCTCTGCATAATTTCAAGCTGAAGTGCAGGATGTGGTATATGATGACAGTGTAATTATTAATGTAAAAGTGACTGTTTGCCTTTGTTTGTACGAACTGTTCCACAATACACAAAATATTTCTTCCACTTTATTCTAAGATCTGTATTTGAAACGGTCTGTATTTTAAAGTAAAAATACAACAGATTAAGCCTTTTACTTGTGATCTTGCAACAATAATCATGTTTTTGAGGTTTCTTACTGTTGTTTAGCTACTGTGTGTTTTGGCATATTAAAGAAGGAGTTTATATTCAAGAAAGATTAGTAACGCTTCAAGTGAGCAGTTAGTCAGTGTGTCACTTCCCACAGCTGTGTATAAATCCAAAGAGATGCTCACAAAATATGGAAATACTGTCCACATCTGCAGTGGGCAAAGGCTGAGGGCACCGTGCTGCTGTTGAAGGGGTCGTCGATTTTTCCACATATGGGCAGTGGGTGTTGATGACGAAGGAGAGCAAGCCCCTCTGCCCTCTGAGATGCTGCAGCGATCGCAGTGGGCCTGAAGGCCAGGCCAGTCGTGCCCCGCTCTCCTCAATCTCCTCATTCAGTTTGTGACACTCCCTGCCCCCTCTCACCCTGATCTGCATTCCACGCATGCCCACCCAGTCCACTTCTCAGCCTGGCACTCTGGGTGTCTGCAGCAAAGGCGCGCCCTACTCAACAAAAGCAGCAGTGTCATGTCTGAGCATGATGAATGTGGGATGAGCAGCACGAATCCAGTGTGCCTTCCAGGAATGGGGGAGTGTGTAGAGCGAGAGTTCGCTCGCACGTACTGTAATAGATGAAGCGTTATGAGCACATATTGCTCCATCCTGGCTACCAGAGCCAAATAGACTGTCACTCTTGGTTGAATGTTCATTTCATTCTCTATTGAAATGTCTGTGCTGTCCTGCACAAGAGCTTGTATTGAGAATGGCAGGTTCACAAGCACAAGTTAACAGGTTTACTGTATACCATAACTCACAGGTCTCAGAGATGAAATATTGATATTAATGCAAACATTGCAGAAAAAGATTTATCATTTAATCATAGAAAGACAGTTTCAAGCATATGCACAGCATTGTTGCGTGTGGCTATGCAGGTGGCTTTGTTTAGATAATTGTCCAATATGTATGCTAATTTTAATAGCTGTCCTGTGTATATTCCTCCTACAGCATGTATAGACATCAATGCCAAATAAGCATTTCAAACAATACAGACACAGAGCAGTGCTGATCAAGTGGTACAAGTAGAGCTTTGTGCTTTGGCTTTCTGTATTTTTTTTCATGCTGCTTTCCACCCCTCCTATCAGCTTGCAGCTCAGACTCCAGTGTCTGCACTGAATAGCTCTCTGTATGTAGACACAGAATAGGGGCTATACAGCCTCTCTTCCCTGCCTCTCCCTCCCTCCCTCACTCTCACTGACAAGTGCATGTCCCCTGACAGAGACCCTGACGTCACAGGTGGCTAGATGAGCCTCCCTGCAGTGCTTTATTCAACGAGATCACATTTGGAATTGAAAGTTGAGGGAGGGAGGGGGAGGGCGGGGTGGCAGGTATCCTGAGGCATCAGGTGTTCATGCAGCGAGAAAGAGGAGAAGAGGGACAGCAAACAGATGAATGAGCTCTATAGCACTGGACATGTGATAAGGGGAGACCAGGACTGTGCTGGGTCTATAACAGTATGTGTACGTCAAGATCAGACATAAGAACAGCTGTAGGAGGGAGATCAACTTGTATTAGTCATCTGGAACTGGATGGAAAGGAAGAAGACAATGCAGCTGGATAAGAAAAACATCCATTAGTTTCTCTTTGGATTTATACATGAGGGTAAGAAATCATTCTTCAGTGTTTTTATTGAATTAAGAGTTTTTGTAAAACTGATAATGGTGTTAATCATTTTATGTACGAAAAACAACATAGTCCTGACATTATTATACTAACACCTTCAGCTATGTACACATGAATTGCAGACAAGGAAAATAGTTCAACATAATCTGAGTTGAACTGAGTTCACATTGAACCAGAACAGTAAATAAGTCTGTGGGTCTGATGTGCCGCCACACAAAGCTCAGGGTAAACATTCCCAGGCTGAATATGGGCTGTAATATTGCCTGTTGCAACTTTTTTAATGTTTAATATGTGAGAGAACATTTCAGGATAATGGGTGAAGTTACATCCAACAAGGACACACCGAGGTGATATGGTACTTTTTTTTGGGGGGGGAACTTAAGCAAACAATTATATCAACTAGCAGACTAAAAGAATAACACTTCCTGTTATATGTCCAATAGGATCTCAGGTTTGGAGGTTATAGCAGGCAGCAGGAGAGAAAATAATGTCCCTTGAAATTCATTCGGCATTACTACAGTTGAACTTCTCCTCAAATGTCCCCCGACGGAGCGGCTTCTGATGGGAGAAAGAAAGCTCTCTCACCCAGCGACGTGCGGTCATCATGGAAAAAATTAAATATATAATAAACAAATAAACGAAATGGTTATATTTATCAAACGGTTTGAACTATGCACTCATTTTCCATTTAACTTAAACAATTTTGATTGTTTTTTTTTAATTAAAAATCGCAGAATTTTCGCATTTCCGCTTCAGGTACGGGGAAGAGACGCAAGGTGAGGCAGCAGCAATAAGCTGAGCCTCACCTTAATGCGCAATCCCTCACAAACTGTGCTCTGCCATGCAATGAGAGCGTGTCTCTCTGTATGTTGCAAATCAAATGTTTCAAACACTTTTAATATATGCTCCCCTGACTTTCCATAGTTTAGCTGGTGTATGTAATATGTGTGTGTGTGTGTGTGTGTGTGTGTGTGTGTAACCTGTTTCGTGTGCTCAGCGATCTTACAACGGCAGTGAAGCGGCACTAGGGGGCACTCGTGAGCCCAGACTGCGCAGCTGCAGAGTAAGTTAGGCCATGTTCACAAGTCTTAATGCTCAATTTGGATTTTTTTTTGCTCAGATCCGATTTTTTGTTTGGCTGTTCACGTTACCTTTTAAAATGTAGCCTATATCAGATTCCTGTGTGAACTGTTTGCGGTTTCGAACTGACCCGCATGTGCAAAAGAACAATAGCAATGACATCAGACGCAGCACGCTGTTGCACTAAAGTTAGGGAGGTTATGGAGGAAGTAAGCATTTTCGCTTTTATTTCAAAATGTTTGCGTCGTGGCAGCCGTAACATTAATGAGCAGGTGCTGAGGAGGAGAAGAATGAAGAGAAAGAGCCAAATTGGCTATTTAGGCCTTTTGCAGGCTTATGGCTGCAAATTACTTATTATTATTAACTTATTATTAACTCGCCGGCGCATAATTGTGACAAATGTTGATGTAGATTGACGTAAAAGTTGCATCAAATCCGCCTTGGTTGTTCACACTGCTGCTGCATTGAAAAAAATCTGACCTGGGTCTGATTCAGGACCACGTATGGAAGTGGTCTAAATCTGATTTGAAAAAATCTGATCTGGGCAGTGTTTACACTATTTTTGAAGAAGTCTGACCTGGTCACTTGACCCCAGATTTGGGCCACTTTTGCCTGGAGTCTGAACGTGGTTACAATTAGTGAGTCAAGTGCAGTGATCTTTTTTTTCCCCCTCTTGAACACCTCCTGCCATATGTTTTTGTTGTTTATTTGAGTATTCAGGTGTCAATCTGTCATTATCCAATCAGGGTCTATTAGGGATAAGTATGGGGTAACCTACCGGATTCTGAGAGGGCGGGATTAAGAGAGTAACAGAGTGGAGAGAGTGAGAGATAGAGAGACGCTGTGCAGTTGCTAGTCGGGAGGAGAAGGACGGCGCATGTGCGTGTGAGGAGCCGGGTTTTCCTACATGGACTAGTTTCACAACTTTTCTTCAGCAGCCACTGGACAGAGGTTTTGAACTGCCGTTAAACTTCCAATAAAAGCAGGGTCCCTAATAGATGCAGGTCTCTTTTAAAAGCCTGGTGTGGCTACACGTTTTGACAAATCAACGCAGGTCTCCAATAGAGGCCTGGTCTGGATTTTATAGAAATTATCTTGATGTATAAAACCTCTTAAAACCCACCGGGTCGCCCGCTTGAGCGAGTTTTAAGTCGTTTTGATCTCCTACACAAATATAAATGTTTAAACTTCTGTCAATATGTACATAATGCACATCCTTAGATCAGTTATAGATTCTCCACAATTCAATCTTTCACTATATTTTACGAAAACTATCAACAACAAAGTTTAACGTTAATTCATTCTGACTTACCGGTAACATGGTAAACAAGAGAGATGGAAAAAAAAACCTCTGAAGCGATCATAATAATCATGTTAGTTGTCAAATTTGCTAAACAAAACTCAAGAGAAGCAGCAGTTAGAGTTTAGTTTAATTTTGTGCTAAAGGAATTAGGAAGAGGCCTGTCCCAAATAGAGGCCTGTCCCCAATAAAGGCTGGGGGAGTTCAGTGATTTAAGCATATAAATGCCCGGGAAGAAGTTTTACGGTAAACAAACAACGTTGCTATCCAGTGTGAGTGTAATCAAAACGGATATTCACATGAGCTCCAACTGCACGCCAGGATGCATGGTACCATAAACTGAACAAACTAAAAACCCCGGGTATTTTCTTTGATTTATTTACATTTTTATTTGGTTCATGTTGAATAAATGTTCCCCTATTTTTTTTAATTGAAACTGTGTGTGTACTAATTATTCATGTTGCAAATGGAGTAAACATTGTGTTTTATGACTGAAAAGGAAAGTGGTTATTAAAAAGTATGCATGGGAGTTAACTGAACTTGGCCTCTCTGCACCGTAGTGAAAATCCGATTATCTAGTCGATGTAAATGCATAGAAAGTTCATATTTAGTAGGCTCTTATCAATTCACCTCCCATGCTAAATTGTTTAAAAGTAATCAAGGTAAACATTTTGTTACAAATTAGAATTGAGTAGGAGGGCTACATTTATAAATCTGATTCTGATGAAGTCAGTGCCTCACCAGCCATGAACCTCACCGCACGTCAGTGCTCTCACATGCCTCCATAATAGCCCCTTCATGGAGCCCAGACAAAGAGCAGAAATATTCCTCTTAGCTGTGTTTGAAGAGTAATGTTTGTATAATGCTCTGATGATAAGACTGAAACTAAAATGTAACTCTACAGTTCATAGGACAGAGGCATGCATAGTAACTCAGGCCAACATGACATA